GCTTCCTCCCTTGGGCGGGGAAGACCTTTGTGTGCGAAGGTGTGGTGAGGGTTTTCACCAGGACAGCCTGCTGACGGGATGACACACCATTTGCACCAGCTTGTTCTGCTGTGTCTGCAGTTCGGATCTCAGCGCCGATCTATCTTGGCCTCTCAATCAGTCATGGATTAGAAGTCTAGAATCCACAGTCTCTCCAATTTCTGACCTGCAGGGACAGAGCTATCTTGTCACAAACCACCCTAACCAGGTGAGTTGCAGCAAAGCCAGCTGGCCCTACATTCTGTCGGGAAGAACGCCACATTGGCTGGCGTTCCCAAACATGGCATCAGTCTCTTTTTGCAGGGTGCTCCTTCCCCGGGGCACCCCCGAGTCTCAGGGCCTTCTCCAACATCAAGAACAGCCTGGGACGTGCCATGGGGCGCCTGGGTGGCTCAGTCGTTGGGCGTCTGCCTTCGGCTCAGGTCATGATCCCAGGGTCCTGGGATCGAGCTCCGCATCGGGCTCCCTGCTCCGCGGGAAGCCTGCTTCTCCCTCTCCCACTCCCCCTGCTTGTGTTCCCTCTCTCGCTGTGTCTCTCTCTGTCAAATAAATAACTAAAATCTTTAAAAAAAAAAAAAAAAGAACAGCCCGAGCCAGCCATCGGCATGCTGGGAAATCAGTTCAATTTGGAATCCTCATTCTTTGAGGACTGATAACCCCACACCAGCCAGCACTTTCTGGCTGAGGACGCCGAGGCCTCACTCCCTCATCGTGGAAGGTCACCAGCTGACCTTCGGGGGACGCGTTCCTGGACGAAGCTGCGGGCGTCTGACACACAGTGGGCACTCATATGCACTATCAGACGAGGGGACAGAACGGCACAGTGACAAAACCCACAACAGACGGCGGAGGCGGGCAGCGTGTGAGAAAAGATGGCTATAGGCAGAAGGGCTGGAAAAGCCACCCTCTGCAAATCCAGCGTGTCACGCGGAGGGCGTCAGTCACCTAATCTAGGATTATGCTAGACCGGGCTCGCGCTTCCCGGAAGAAAAGGCACGACCAAGACTCTGGTGACGCGCCCGAGGTTGTCCGTTTCAACCGGGCGGCAGAATGAGAGTGCTGTTTCACCGCTCAGCACGGCAGCTCGCTCACAAAGGACTCTGGGGCAAACCGCGGACTCCCGAGCCTTCTGGGACCAGTGACCCAGTCTGTGGGGGTTCCAGATGCCTGTTTTGCTCCATTCCCCTCCTTCTGTGTATCTCGTAATGTCACCCATTTATTGCAGACATTTTGGGAAGAATAAAGCTCGGCGCCTACATCCTCTCGTTCCACACACAACGAGTGTTTCCATGCGAGGTTGGGCGGGCACAGAAGTGAAATCCAAACCAGTCAGATTTTCTGTCCTGGGGCTTTCTGCCGAGAGATGGCAAGGGGGTAAGTCAGCTACGATGCATTAACTGAGCATCCGCTATGTTGGGAGCAAAATAGGTTTGTGCGTCCAATGAAATGTAAGGCTTTTGGGATGGAGAGAGAGAGAAGCAGGAAAGGACCCCAAAAGGGTCTCTTTACTCATAATTAACTGCAAAACAAACAGCTCCCCCATGGAACGGGGCCCCTCCTTTCCACCGCCCCTGCAGACCCACATTTCAATTAGCTCTGTGTTATTCTGGTCCCCTATTAGCTCACATAATCAAGGGCTGGCTGTAATTAATTGTGATAATGTACTCAGGAGCAGAGCCAACTGCAGCTCGAGAAGGCGGGCCAGAGACGCTCCTCTCCCCAACATGCCCTCCGCCGGGGGGCTGTTCGGGGTCGGTCTGCACAGACTACGGAGTGGGCGAGGACAGTGGGCAGAGACCCTTGCAGGCAGGCAGGCCTCTTCCGGTGTCTATGGCATCGTGCATCGAGCAAGGTTCTCCTCCTTCCACCTCCCTGTGCCCCAATTCCCTTCCCGGTCCTGGCAGCCCCGAACCCTCAAAGCCAGTGACTCTGGAAATGAAGACATTTATACGTACAGTGGAATACAATTTGGCCACGAAACAGAACGGGGTGCTGATCCGCACTACACCATGGACAAACCCTGAAAACCTTACACAGAGCGAAAGAAACCACACTCGAAAGGGCCACATGTCATGTGATCCCATTTGTGTGCAATGCCCAGAAATCCACAGACACAGAAAGCAGGTGGGTGGCTGCCAGGGGCTAGGGGTTGAGGGCTGGCGGAGATGGGGGGGGTGACCACTAACAGAGATGGGGTTTTATTTTTGGGGTGTTGGAAATGCTTTGGAGCTCGGTAGAGGCAGTAATTGTACAACACGGGGAATGTGCGGAATGCCACTGAATAGTTGACTTTCAAAGGGGCTGCTGGGCTTCTGGGGCAGACACTGCACGCCCTCCGCGTGACACGCTGGATTTGCAGAGGGTGATTTTTCCACCCTTTGAAAACGCTTTCCCCTGGGTGGCTCAGTCGGTTAAGCATCTGCCTTCTGTTCAGGTCATGATCTCAGGGTCCTGGGATCGAGTCCCAGCTCAGCAGGGAGACTGCTTCTCCCTCTCCCTCTGTGCTCTCTAAGTAAATAAATAAGGTCTTTTAAAAAATTAAATAAAAGGGGGGATGGATGTTATATGAATTTCACCTCAATCCATCAAATCAGATCAAATAAAGAAAAACAGCTACAATTTCTTGAGCGCACACGCGAGGTGCCGGGTACCTGCTGGGAAGGCACCATCGACTCCAATGAAGAAATAGGAGACCCAGGGCCCCGGAAGGGGACCGACCTGTGGGCGGGCTAGGGGTTGGGTGGACCCTGCGAGGCCAGCAGGCGCCCTCCTCCTGGCAGCGCCCCCGGCAGTGGGTCAGCCCTGGATCCCGGCAGCTGTGGGAATCAGGAGCGACGTCTGCCAGGGGTCGGGAGGGCAGGAAATGAAGGACGAGGCCCGACGGAGGCAGAGGCAAAAAAGCAGGCGGGGTGTGGGTTTAAAGAGAGGACGAGGGCAGAGAAAAGGGAACAGGAACTCAGGGTTTTATTTAGCACCCACAGGTGCACGGCCCAGGGAGGGGTGGGGGTGGGCCCTGGCCGGGGGGTGTGAAAGGGAAAGCGGGGTCTGGCCAGGAAGGGCTCCTTCCCTGGTAGTGTCCGTGGGTCAGTCATGTCCCTCTTCCCGGGAGCTCCGAGACCACTGGCGACCAGCGCTCAGCCTTCAGTGATTTCCCGGAGGCCAGCTCACCTGAGTTAAAGCCACCAGGCAGCTTGAAACATAAAAAAACACGGAGGGAGACTCACATTTTCCACTTCTCTGTGAGGGATAAGGGGGTAGACGGGACGAGAATGTCGCAAAGCATCTCAACACACTCCCCTTTTCCTTGTAAGGAGAGAGTTCTGTCGTGCGTCTCTCCTTTTTAATGATCTATTATGTAAGACTGTCTTTAAATGAATCTGTCAGGGCTGGAGGCTGGTGGGTGTTTCTTTTCACTTTCTCCCCTCCCAGGTGCTGGCAAACACCGGCCCGTGCTTTTCTGATGTTCTCTATGCTTCCTACATGGTGGGATGGAAACGCTTTCCCCAGTCTCTGAGAGCAACGGGGGCAGGAATTTGGGGATCTCTACGCTCAGAGACCATCTCTAGCTTCTCGCCATGAAAGCGAAAGCTCATAAATCAGATGCAAACCAGAAAGCCTCTTTTTTTTTTGGCTTGTGTCAAATGACTCGATCACCTATAATTAAATAAGGCGCCCGTCAAAACTGCACCCAGACATGGTAGATCAGCACAGACTTGAGGGCTGTTAGGAGCGAGTGCGATTCGCAGGGGATGGGGGAACCGGCCGCTTTTGTGACCCTTTCCGTGCCTGCGCAGGGGAGCCGGGAATGAGTCTGTCTGCAAAGCCAGACTTGAAGGTCGGCCGCCTGGCGCTCCCTGGGTGTGTCACTCGCCTGGCGGGCCTTTGTGACTTCTCCGTCGAGGGCTGCCATCCGCTGTGAGACCTGGAGACATCCCTGCACTTAGGCCATCTCTCGTTTCTAAGGATGCCTCTGAGACCTTGCTGCCTTCTTCAAACCCGTGACGTCCATCAGTTTGACCCCCTCAATGAACAGGATGGTCTCTGAGAAGCACACGACCCCAGGGGCTGCAGAAGTCTCAACCCTGCCGGACATGAGGGATTCCTGAAGCGTTTCAGTAGGAAATGATGAACCTTCTCTGAGGCCTCCAGGAGATACCCGCAGGGAGAGGGGGGACTTCCCCTCGGGGCCCTGGTCCTTCTGCCTCCTAGAAAAGTCATTCACGCCCCCGCTGTGCCTTTTCGCTCTGGCTTCTGGATCAAGGGTCTCCCGCCTGTCTCCGGCTCCAACTTCTCTCTCTGTGTGTTGCCTGTGGGCAGGGGCTGGGCCTCGGGTTTGCTGATGGACACTCAGCAACAGGCTTCTTTCTTTGCATGTGTTATCTTACTAAAGCTCAGAAGAGGCTGCAGGGTGTTCCCGGAGAGGGCGGGGATCCCAGGAGGGCAAGGCTGCTGGGCTTCTGGGGCAGACACTGCGGACCCTTCCAGCGGGGGGCCTCGGGCACCTCTCCGTGCGCTCACGCCCACTTCTCCGCCCTCGGCCTGTCCCCCGTTGGAAGAAAGTTAAAAAACAAAAACTAAAACAAAAACAAAACCCAGCACATAAAAACGAGAGGGAGAGCGTTCTGGTCCAGATCGACCAGGCATTTATCGAGGGCCTTCTCTGCGCTCCAGTCCATGCTCTGTGCAACCAAAGTGAACAGCATAGAATAGCTGCCCTAGCACCAGGTGTCAGGAGTTCACCGTGTGGTTCAAGAAATTAAGAAATGAAAGGGAACATGCGTGAAGCCGTGAGACACACAGTGGTGTGGACGAGAGCAAGAGGGATGAGGTGGGGGACGCGGGGGTCACCCAGCAGCCCCCAACCTGCTGCAGGAGCCCTCCCTGACATGGACATGGCTTCCCGAGCTCCGCACCCACGTGGCTCCGAGCAAAAGGACCGGCCAGTCGGAAAATATACTCACGTGTTTGCAAACTAGCTCGGTCCTGGGTCGGCCTAGGGGGGTCTCTGCGTGGTCCCCTCAAACTCCCTCTCCTCCAGCGTGTGGCCTGCCAGGCCCCCAAAAAATGCTGATGCTGCAGGGAGCCAGTGGCCTCCCCCCCGGAAGCCCACACAACACCCCCCTCGGAGGCCGCCTCTATTTTTAGCAGGGACAGCGGTGGGGGCTGGGGGGGCTGCCATACTTCCCTTTTTATTTTTGTTCTGAGCAGTCTGTGGGTGACTTTCCACAGAGGGGGGGCTGGGAGACGCGGAGGGGACGCTGCTCTCTCTGGCAGGCGGCGCCACGTCTACCACTGGGGTGCAGAGAGGTTGGGGGTGCAGGAGTGGGGGGAGGACCGGGCAGGAGCCTGGCATCACTTGCGTTCTCCCCTCCTGCTGGTTGGTGGCTGTCGCTGTCCCAGACCTCGCCCAGGACACCGCGGTCTCCTGCCTGTGAGCTGCACCGAGGAGAAAGCCTGGCCGGCGGGACGTGTCGGGCCTAGAACATTCCAGGGAAGATGCTTCCGCAAGCCTCACATCGAGCTGCCCAGAGCCAAACACCCCATCCTACTCTTTTCTAGACATCCCGGCATCCACGGTGGGCCACTGACCCAGCTCCTCTCTGCCTCTCTGACCACCGTGTCTTCTCTGCCTTCTTACCCTGCAGGCTGCCCACGGGGCTCTGATCACCCCATTCCCCTGGGGGAGCAGAGGGTCATGTCCTCTCGGGGAAATGGGGGCAACGGACGCTGTGGGTGGATGGATCCAGGTGATGCATGCACACGCCGGTGGTCCAGAAAGACCGGCCCGCCCCCTTCCTAGAAGCTCCCCTCCCCTCCTCCACAGCTGAACGAGCGTCACCGCCTGGGCTCCCTGGCCCCACACGGCGGAGCCCCACACCACTTCAGCCTCCCTCCTATGTCCCAGCCTGTGTGGATCGCCAGAGAACTTTCTGGTCCCTCGCTCCTTTCCTAAAACACTGCGGCGAGGTCAGTAAGCTGCACATATCCTAAGTACACGGTTCAATGAGTTTTCAAAAGAAGACACCCTCATGACCAATTAAGAAGTGGAGCATGGCCAACACCCTAGAAAATTCCTTCCCGGCCCTTTCCATCCTGTGTCCCCACCCCCAGAGGCCACCAGTACTGGGAGTTCTCTCACAGAAAGACGGAAAAGCGCACGACGTACTGTTTAGGGCCTGGCTTGTTTCGCTCAGCACCTCGAGGTGCATGCATTCGTGGTGCGGGTCACCGGCTTATGTGTCCCACGGTTTATTCATTCGCCTGTCGGTGGGCGTTTGGGTGGTGTCCCAAGTTCACTTGTCGGGGACATTCTTGGACAAATCTTCATGTGGACATGTGTTGTCATTTCTTTGGAATAAATACCTAGGATCAGAATTGTCGGGTCATGTGGTCGGTGTACAATCAACTCCTGAAGAAACCGCCCCCCGTTTTCCAAGGTGGCCATGGCATCCTGCCCTCCGGCCAGAGCGGGTGAGAGTCCCAGCAGCTCTGCGTGGCTGTTGGCGCTCGGACAGTTGGGTTTGGAGCAGCAGGCCTTCTATGCCCGTCGTCGGCCCGGCCCACACTCGGGCACTGGCCTTTCCCTTTCCCTGGGCCTCTCACCCGTTGATGCCCTCCCACGCGTACTGGGTTAGACAGGGTCCCCCTCGTCAGAACGTGACCACATTTGGAAAGAGGGTCTTTGCAGATGCATGTAAGTCGAGGCCTCCCTGGGCGAGGGAGGGGCTCTGAATCCAGTGACAGACACAGAGGAGGGACGGCCATGTGACTGTGGAGGCCGCCACGGGGCGAGTGGCCACGGGCCGAGGAACTCGGGAACCGCCCGAACCTGCAGGAGGCAGGCGGGGGGTCCTTCCCTGGAGTCTCTGGAGGAAGCGTGGCCCTGCCTCGAGCTCACTTTGATTTCAGGCTTCTGGCCTCTAGACTGTGACAACATGTTTGTTGTGTTTTAAGCCGAGCGGTTTAGGGTGATTTGTCGTGGCCGCTTCGGGAAGGGAACAGCCCCGCAGCCTGTCTGGGCTGGAGGGAGGGAGAGGGAGGGCTGCCTGGCAGGGCTCAGCCTTCAGGAGAGGGGCACGGCCACCCCTCGGAACTCACTGCCTGCCCTCTGTCTCCCTTCGCGCTGCCATCCGCCACGGCCACGGCCACGCAGAAGCCAAGGGTCAGGTCAGCCTCTGGGCACGGCGGGTGGGCTGGGTCTGCAGGGCATCCTCCGAGCCCTCGGCGTCTCCACTGTCACATGAGGACAATGACCATGCCAGGGTCAATGGGGGCGCGGGGATGAAGCGGTGAAGTGTGCCGAACACGAGCCAAGCGCTGGCGTGTGGTCAGCGCTCAGGGCCTGGATGCTGCATGATCTCCCATCAGGGATGGGCCCGCTGCCGTGCTCTGCTCAGAGGGCCAGCCTCCTTCCCGAGGACAGAGAGGGTTTTCGGCACCTCCTGGTCATGCTCCCCTGTTCGAGGTGCTGATGGCATGCCGTTGGCGTGAGCGGAAAGGAGCCGGAAGGAGGTAAGCACGTCCCCCTCTCTGGGCAGGGGAGGACCTTCAGGAGAACCTCCTAGGGAGAGGAGATCTTCTTCGTCCCGGTTCTCGTCGTCTGAGTCTGAAAGCTGTGCCCTACCCAAACACCATGGAAGGAAGTCCTGCTTAGCTGCAAATCCTGCCACTGGCCAGAGGTCCCGCGTGGCAACTGCGATTACTACCCGGAAGCCGAGGCGTCGAGGAGTCCAACGATTTGCCTGAGGTCACACGGCGTCTTCATCCACTCCTCTCGCTGCTAAGGCAACATCCCTCAGCCCGGGGGGCTTAAACAACAGGCACGCGTTTCTCACAGTTCGGCAGCATGGGAAGGCCAAGGTCAAGGTGCCGGCAGTTTCCGTGCCTGGCGAGAGACCTCTTCCCGGTTCACGGATGGCTGCCCTCCCACGCTGTCCTCACCTGGCCCTTCCTTGGTGTGAGCTCATAGAGAGAGCGCTCTACCATCTCTTCCTCTTCCTGTTAGACCCCCAATCCCATCACTAGGGCCCCACCTCCAAACACCCCCCCATCAGGGCTTAGGGCTTCCACACATGGATTCTGGGGAGGCTTTACGGGCTGGCTCTGCATGGGATAGAAGGCGTGCTCCGGTGTCTCCCACCGGGCCGGGGCCTCCCTCCACCTGCTCTGCCGCGGGCATCACTGGGACACTGTCACCTGGGTGACGACTTCCTGACTCGCCAGCATATCAATGGGAAGGAAGCACCGGAGCGAAGCCTCCATCCTAGATGGTCAGAGCACAAGGTAAGGGGGTTTCAGAGCCGGGAGGGGTCTTTGGCGCCTTTTCAGCCACCTGCACCGTGAATTCCCAGTGAATGCAAGTGCCGACAGGTGGAATGGAGTACTCGCTGAATGAACACTACCCACGAACGGCCCAGTGCCTGCCACGTGCAGACTCAGCTGGGCCCTTCGTGGGCATTCCCACAGGTGGCTTTCCCCATGCCCACCCTATGGGATAGGTCCTTTACCCTCCACGTTACAGAAGAGGGTCCGGACCCAAGGGCCCGGACCCCACAGGGCGGTGGGGGAGGCACAGGGACTGATCGCGGTCTTCTCTACCTCTGCACATTGGTCTTTCCATCGTTTCACATTTTTCTTCTTCCCACGGAGAAAGCAGATCCTTCTAAGCAGAGATAAACCCACCAGAACCAGGATGAATGAAACCACCCAGTCCCAAAGGGGCTTCAGGGGAAAGGGGGTCCAACCGTGTTGCATGGTGGGGCCAGATGCCCTTCACATCCTTCTGTCCCCGGGATTCTAAGACACTCCCCACCAGAGAGACCAGAACGTAGTTGGTAGAATTCTTTCCCGGACCCAATGAGGAGATGCCCACTGGGCTCATCAGGGGCGCAGCATGAGGGGTGTCCACATGGTAGGGCAGAGGGAGCTGAATTCTCATGGGCAGCCACCAAGTAGAGGGGTCAGTTGAGGTGCTCTGAGCCCCTCCAGAGGAGGCGGCAGGAGCTAAGTGACACGTGAGAGGAAGTGGCCTCCGACAGCTTCCTGCACACACACCCAGGGAGGTTCGAGTCTGAGCCGTAGGTGAAGAGTGATTTCTCTTAGTATGGCAAGAGGAAAAAAAAAAAAAAAGCAAAACATCCGGCTCTGTAATAAAAACAGCCTCGTGGGGCTGGGGGACCCCGGACACAAAAACATGCCCAACATGGGCTGGTGCTTTGATGTGCCAGCCACACCTCTGAGGCCCGGGTCTGTCCTGCCAAGGCCCCGAAATGCGTTCAGGCCCGCCCCAGGACGCAGGATTCAACCGCTACCCCCGTGTTACTTGTTTTATTTATCTCCGCCTTGAAACCATAGTTCTAAACAGTGTAGGCCCTTGACTGCCGACTCAGCTGCCAGAGCCAAAACTCATAAAATCCTATTTCAAAAAGGTCCGATGATTTTATTTTCTGACCATAAATATGAAATTTAATTAGGAGCTTGCTGCTAATGAAGTTGCCACAGAAGCCAGCCTGGAGACACAGAGCAGGAAGAGACCGCCCCACATTAAACAGAACCTGCGGCCCTGTTAACCCTTGCCTCTCTCCCTGCCCTTCCCCACGACCCTTGAAGCCTGGAGAGTGGAAAGCAGCCTCTGACCTGGAAGGACAAGGCGGGGCGGGCGCTCACTTAGAGAACGGGATGTGGGTCAGATGTCCCCTCCGGTTGGTGGGAAGCTTCTGGGCCCTCTGGCCTGGCTGTGTCTTCACAGCAGGGCGGGGGGAATGGAAAGAGGCTAAAGGAAAACACACTAGCGCTTAGAAAGAGCCCCATCGCTCTGCTTCCCTGGACATCAGTGGGAGTGCAACTTGGGGGTATTCACACTCGACCAAACACGTGAAATGCCCACCCTGCTCCTCCAACCACCCCTGGTCTCGGTTTATCATTTATAAAATGGGAATCTATAAATCTATAAATAGTTCATCTATAAAATAGGCATAATGCCCACAGCTGGTGATATTTTAGTGATGATGGAACATATTTCTAAAGCCCGTGCCTGGAATATAGCAGGTGCTCGATAAATG